CAGGAGGGTTTTAGTTTTTATTTAATGTTTCTAGGATGTAACTTCTCTTGTATATCTATTAGTTTTATTTTTAAAATTATATTTTAATAAAGGAACACACTGTAAGTAGAAAAATTATGGATTTAAAACTAATGACTATTTTATATATAAGCAGTCTTAGAAAGTAGAAAAAAAAAGAAAAAATAGCAAGTCAAGTCCATTTTAGCTCTAGGTACTAATCCTGATACATTATTGCAGGAATCTTACTTTATCCCTAACTTTGTGACAATTACTTCCCCCACTGCCTCCCTTTTCTTGTATTTGAAGAAAGTGACATTCAAAAAAATGAAATAATCCCATTTTTAAGATGGTAAAGTGAAACAAACTGAGTGTCCTTATTAACCACCTTTCTGCTAAGATTATTCCTGTCCCATTTCAGAAAAATAAGATTCATATTATTTTCATGAAGATAAGGTTTGGTTTAACAAGAATATTTCAAAACTCATGAATTTTTTTAAAATTATCACTTTTTGGGAAAGAAATTTCTAGTATAACTGAGTGAACAAGGAACAAGCATGCCCTCTAGTGGATAAACTTGCCTTTTCTTTATTAGTCCCATTATTTTTTTTTTTCCCTTTGGATGCTGGTGCATGCTAAGCATGTGCTCTATATTCCCTTAATTTTTATTGGATGCAATGTATACATGCAGTAATTTCCCTACTGCAACAAATATTTAGGATCTCAAACTTTACCAGAAGGACAGATTAGCAGTATGTTTTCCGTCTAGAGCACAGAACTCTATTTTATATAGTATCTTTCATTCTCTCCTGAACACTACTTCATTATCGTGATTATTTCCATATAAATAGCTTTTGAATTGCTGGCATGCTAATGTTAAGAGTTCTGGAAGAGAAATTATTTTTGGTTGTTTTTTTTGCTACTGGGGATCAAACTTGAACTTGGGACCTTGCTCTTGGTGAGGCAGGTGGCAGAACCATTGAGCTGAATCCCTGGCCCTGGAAGAGAAATGTTTTAACAGTCATGCCTGCCAGCCACCTGGATTTGTCTGTCACTAGAGATGGAACAAATAAAGGAATACAAATCATAAAACGAATAGAATAATGGACTCTGCCTGTGGACATACTTGACATGTAATAAATACTGAATACAAATAAGCCTACAAATAGATTTAAAGATATATGGCTAACACTAGAATTCTATTAAAAGCAATGTAGCTCTAATAAATAACTTTGGTAGGTGGCTGGTTATAAAATAAATATATATAAATAGTTTAACAAGTTAGAAAATGGAACAAAAATTATAGTTTTGAAGAAAACTACAAAACTTTACTAAAGTAAGGTAAGAGAGGGCTCAAATAAATGGAAAGAGCATATTCTGGACAGGAGAATATGACTTTAAAAGTATGACATGCTCTCCAATCAAAAGCTAATTTACCAAAATTTCAGTTAAAATTTGCTTTTTTTTTTAATGGTACTGGGAACTGAACCTAGAACCTCACACAGGCTAGCCAAATGATCTACCACAGAGCTACACTGCCATTCCTTCTTTTTTTTTGGTACCAAGGATCGAACTCGGGTCCTTGCACTTGCACAGCAGGAAGTGAAACCACTGAGCTAAATCCCTGGCCCTCCTTATTTTTTATAATGAGACTGGGTCTTGCTAAGTTGTCCATGCTAGCCTCAAACTTATGATCTTCCTGCCTCAATCTCTCAAACAGTTGGGATTACAGGTGTATGTAACTGTCCCTAGCACAATAAATGTTTTCAAAAAGAAAAAAATATTTATTTTGAGGAATAAATGGAAAAGAATAGCCATGATAGGTTCTGAGATGGTATTAGTTTAGCTTTATTTTGGTTTAAAGCTTGAAGAGATAAACAATCTGGAAGATCAGTGTTCCTCACACGTGACATGATAAATGAAGTTTTATAATAAATTATGTTTTCCTATTTAGGTTTAAGTTACTTTTTTCATTTCTGTATCAGTTTTTTATTCCAGATCTGCTCAATCCAAAGATAATGACCATGTGTGGATATGGAGCAGCTGAAATGTAGCTAATTCCAAACTGAAATATGTTTGTTTTTCCAGTACCGGGTATCGAACTCAGGACCTTGCACTCTCGAGGCAGGCGCGGTGCCACTGAGCTAAATCCCCACCCTGAAATATGTTTTAAGTATAAAATGCACAAGTTTCGAAGACTTTGTAGCAAAAAAAGTAAACTATCTCATCACTAGCAGTTTATATTACCCATGATTACATTATTGAAATGGTAATATTTTAGATATATTCAATTAAATAAATACATTTAAAAATTCACCTCTTTAACTTTTTTTTTTCAGTATGGGTATCGAACTTAGGACCTTGTGCTTGCCAGGCAGGTGTGGCACCACTGAGCTACATCCTTGGGCCCTCTTTAACTTTTAAAAATGTGATTACTAGAAAATTTGCAATTATACATGTGACTCACATTATGTTTCTACTCTTTAGAATATAACAAATAATTACTACCAAGTGGAGAAAAATACTGTTCACATAAGAGCCAGACATGGTTGTACACTCCTTCTGGGAGGCTGAAGCCAGGGATCACAAGTTCTAGCATAGCCTTGGCAACTTAGCAAGATCCAGTCTCAAAAGTAAATAAATAAAAATGGCTGCTGATGTAGCTCAGTGTGTGGAGGCTCTGGATTTAATCCCCTGTACCACCACCATCAAAAAACAACTAGAACTTGCAAAGTAAACAAAAATAAAATGCTGGTAATTTTCAAGTAGGCAGAAGCTGCTTGACAGTTTTTACCCTATACACATTCAGAACAGCCATTAGACAGTTAACACTTTCACTTGTCAAAAGCAAGCCTATGTTTCTTAAAAAGCTCAACATAGAATTACTATATGACCCAGCAATTCCATTCATATGTATATACCCAAAGAAACTGAAAAGAGATGTGAATAAGACACTTTTGTGTTCCTGTTCATTGTAGCATTATTCACAATAGCCAAGTGGTAGAGTCACCAAAGTGTTCATTAACAGATGAAACAGATCATCAAAATGTGGTATTTAACTACAATGGAATGTTTTCAGCCATTAAAAGCAATAAAGTCTCTTTTATTGGAACACAGGATGGCACAGATGAATCTTGAAAGCATTATGCTAAGTAAACCAGACACTAACAAATATTGTATGATCCCACAATTCAAAGCTGGGTATGCTGGCTAATAACTGTAATTCCAGCATTGAGCCTGAGGCAAAAAGACAAGTTCAAGTCCTACTCGGGCAACTTAGAGACCTGGTCCCAAACTAAAAAATTAAAGGGGCTTAAGATGTAGCTCAGTGCAAGGGCGTGGGTATAATCCCCTAGTACCCTCCCCGCAAATAAGGCAAATTCACAGAGATTAGAGGTACAGAGTTTTTGTATGGAGCAATGAAAAAATTTTAGAAATAGTGGTGGTAGACACATTGTATTTGTACTTAATGCTACTGAACTGTACACTTAAAAAGTTGAAACGGTAAATTTTTACATATAATTTACAACTTAAAAAATAAGTTTCAAACCATGAACTGTACACTTAAAATGGGTATGGTATTTGAATTATATCAATAATATGGATTTTAAAAAGTTACACAAGACAAGTAACCTGCATTTGAATCTGGACTCCATACTTGCTGGTTCTTGGGCCTTTAGCAATTCCTTGTGTTCACTCATGTCTCATTTTCTCCCATAAAACCATAGGTCATAAGATTGCTATGAGGATTAAATGACCTAACATTTGTAAAATAGGCATTATGTAATTGCTTATTAAATACAACAAGCTGCAGAGTTAAGAGTGAATATAAAGAAAATAAATCCATATGTTTGTGACATACAGTAATTTCATATTTTTATAAAACATGACTCTTGAAATTGTTAACATAATGTGCAGAAGGCTATTATGTAGCTCATTACCTACCAACCTCATTTCAGCTTGTTTTATTGTTATTTACTCTTCGACACACACAGGGTAATTTTTTTGAAGGGTTTAAGACTATATATATTTTTTGGATTAGTGATGGTAATAAAGAAACTTATAAAACAGCTGTTAAATTCAGGTATATATATATAGTTATAGAAGCATACTAATGGAAACAGTCTTGGTAATTTTAACACTTTAAAAAATTACTTTAGCTATGAATTTATGTGTTCATTAAAGGTCTAATTTTAGTTTAAGATACTTAATTTAAGAGACTTCCTGGGTTTAAGATGTTGGCTCAGCCACTTAATTCCTAGCTTTGTGCCCTTGGGCTACCGGGCCTTGGGTTTTTTTCATCTGTAAGATGTGGATTAAAAACAGTACCTAACTCAAAGAACTGTCAGGATTTGATAAGTTACTTATTTAGAACATACTTAGAGCAATACCTAGTGTTCAGTAAGAGCTCAATAAATATCAGCAATTATTAGGAACCAAGTTTTATGTAGAAAAGGATATGCTATCATAACAGTATTAAACGTGAAGATTTACAACTGCTCTCATATATATTTTTTACAGTATCAAAGTGTAATTATATTTATAAATTAATGTTTCATGCATTCAAGAAGCCTACCAAATATGACCCTTTCAAGATGTATTTATCATTTAAAATAAATGATATGTAATTTGTTTTAGCTTTCCAGGATACAATAAAGTGAAACATATTTAGCTAGTAACTGAGTATTTCACAGAAGATACACTGCATCTGATTCTTGGATACCATTTCCTATACTAATGTAGCAATTTAACTGATCTAGTCAAATAAATAATGGAGCGATAAGTATTTTCCTTTCATGGTCCTTTAATATAGTATGCCAGATAAATGACACATACTATACCTTTCAGACCCAATGCTCAACATGTATTTCAATACATCTCTAATACGTGCTTTTAGGTAATTAAGCTTGAATATTCAGCTGTATTCAGGTTTCCCGTAAGTCGTATTTACAAACCAGTACAAGTGCATTTTCTCTGACAGATGAAAGATTTCTGTTACTTACCAAATTTTCTCTTTCAATCCTTTGTTGTTCCCTCTGTCTGTTGAGAGCACTATGATATAACTTAGGGGGATGACCAATTGATCTTCTGGGAATTGCACTTTTGTTTCCTGGTTTTTCAGCTTGTCTTGACAGTTCTTTCAAAAGCCTCTGATTTTCCTAATCAATCTGTCTCACCTCTTCTCTGGTGAAAGAAAAGTTCTTCCTAGGTACTACTGGAGGCTGATCAAAGTGATGTTTTTGTGGCTCCTTTTTATCTAATTGCAGGAAAGCTATAGAACAATGACAAAAAGTTAAAACACAACTAAACACAATAACCTCTGATGCCAACATGCTTTAGCCCTTAAAAATATAAACCATATTAATTCATGAAAAAGTATGTATGAAATAATGCTGATGACTTCCAGATTATAATTGTGTAGAAAAAAAAGATACAGCTTAGAGTTTTATGCTTATTGGGTTCTTTGGGCATAAAAGTAGCATGGAAATGGCACCATGCCTGCCTTTGAAGTACAAGGTCCTGAGTTCGATCCCCAATACAAAAAAAAAATTAGCATGGAGAATAAAACAATAGCTGAATAATAAAGGTATATGGTAGTATTCTTCTTACATATGTATTAATTTATGGAAAATGCTTTTGTCATGTCTACTTTAGGACTCCTTATGGCAATTTAATAGTTTGGGAGTTTAGAAACAATAATTTAGATAGTTGTTAGTTGAAAGGCATATTTAAAAAAAAATCAACTCAGCAACAACTGATGAAAATGGCAAATAAACTCAACATATCCTGAAACCATCAACCTTAAAATACACAAGATTTATGGATCTTAATATTGTCATTGAAACAAATATTTGTACAATAAAAACCAAATTTTTTCTTAAACACAGCATGAATATATTATGTAAAAGATGTTTTTAACCAAGAAAAATATTTTGCATATGATTATCAAATGAATATTTACCAAAATGCTTAAATCCTTGTTTCCATAGTATACCGATTTTCAGTAAGCATGATTAACACTCGTGAAAAGCCCATAAAAACACAGAACTTGCTTAATATTTCTAATTTAGTAGTACTAAAACAGGAATACACTGTAACAGATCAACAGACAGGCACATTGGTTTTTGTTTTGTGGTTTTATACAGTAGTTTTTAGAGCTTCAGCCAGAGGACTGTCATTCCATCTGTAAGTGCTCACAGATCCCGGGAAGTAGCTGTGTGGCCCAGACCCGCAAGGATGCAAGGGGGATCCCACCAGGGGGATCCCAGCAGGGGTCTTCCCTGACCCCAGAGGCTCAGGGACACCTGCCCAAGCCCAAGGCCCGCCCAGAAAAGAGCTGCACAGGCATACGAGCTTCAGCCAGAGGCTCACCATACCATTGGCCACAGCCAAGGACACGCCTGGAAAAGAGCTACACACGTGCATAAGCAATACCGAGAGGCTTATCCCAATGCCACTGATAAGTGCCTGGAGACCCTAGCCAAAGACCAGACAGACAACAGGAACTGGGGTGTACAGCCTCCAGCCAAAGGCCCTCTGAGACAACAGGTACATAGGGGCCCCAACTACAGGCACACTTAGATACTATCCCAAGTGTGCACAGGGCCCAGCCAGAAGCCCGCCCAGACCACAGGTCAGCTCAGGGATCCAGAAGGTCAGTTCAGGGATCCACCACTCTGAACCCAGGAATTGGTACACTGCTAAGGAGCAGAGTAAAAGCTGCCCGGGGGCTTAATAAGAATTCCAGATGACTGGGTCAGCAAAAAGTCACCTCAACAAAGGCACAGCAGGCTGCATCTGTTGAAATGAGAACATATGTAAGTAAATCTCAGAACCACATTTCCAGATCACCTAAGGCAACCCCAAAGGAAAATGAGATGGAACAATCTGATACTCAATCACATGGACTCTCTGAACTGGCAACGAAAGAGGACCTGGAAAAAATGAAATCAGAAATAATTGCTCAGACAACAGCAGAGATTGTGCCCATAGTAGAAGACATGATTAATAAATCTAGAGAGGGCACAGATCAAAGTAAAGGAGCTGAGGAATATGATGGAATCCCAACATAGGAAAAAAATGGAATCCATAAAACAGATGCAAACAGATTTCCAGGAGATTAAAAACTCCATCGAAAGTCTGCGCAGCAGAATGAGCCTATGT